TTGATCGCTCGCCGCCGAACTACCGGGTAAGTGTAGCCAAGGCCTTAGAGAACTAAGGGAGTGAATAGAACCTTTATGAATTGCTGCCATGTTTTTACAGCTCTTGTGAGCAGTTGAACTTGATGATAATTTTACAGACAGGCTTGAGTGTCGGTGCATTTTACTTTATATGCCCCTTTCTAAACACAAATTAAAAAGTTCAAGTTCATCTTGCTATCTCTGGTTATTAATTTCTTGGAACCGAATCTTTTATATCAAATCGTAATATGCTCTCTTCTTCTGCACGCCCCTCCATCCTCTTACTTCCCCACCACCACATTCATTCTCTCTCTCTCTCAATAGGTGTTAGACCATGTGACATTTAAATGTCTGATGGTCAGTAGATCTGTAACTTTAAATGTGCCTTAAGATCTCATAGCAGGAAGAGGATCAAAGAGAAACATTTAGTTCAACCTAAAGCACGCTGAGCACTGCAGCTTGCTAAGTCTTGCAAATGAAAGTCATAAGATCCTGTAAATATAAAGTATAACTTTTTTTTCAGTTTATCTTTGTGTGTACATTGTCTGTCTTAGTGTGGTTGTAGTCTGAAAGTGACTCTGTAAAAATGGCACTGTGGGATTCTATATTTGTCTCAATGACCTCAGATCACATCTTCTCAATTTACAAGTAAAGACTTGTTTTCTTACTACTCTTTGTCTTCTGCAGCACCCATAATAAAGATTTTGCAGTTGGAACTTGGTTAGCAAGTGTGTTGCAGTATGTGCCAGACTGGAATCCAGCTTTTTTTCTTCCCAGTATTGATTCAGCCATGTTATCTGGAATCAAAAGTAGCAAAAACTTATTTAGTCAGTGGATATAACAGAAAACACACAGGGTGCAGATAAAGTCAGGAAGACGGTGCTAGTTTTTGTTTTGTTTTCCTCATCGGGATGTTTCAGAGCAGAACATGCCTTTTTAAGGAGTGGAATTGCTCGAGTTTAAGCACTGGTATTTTCCCATGATACTAAATTGTGACTCATTCACACTAAGAACGGATTTGTTGAACAAGAAGATATTACTTTAATAAAGTCATGCTTCTTACCATAACTTCTCTTGAAGCGTTGGTGTTTAAATCTGTATTTTGATTGGTTATCTTATGGATGTGTGAGCATGGTCTAATAGCTTCAGTAATATTGCTTGTGGGCTAAATAATCTTTGCTTTCCTCAAAGGTATAATATTCTGCAGGAAAGTCTCATCAAACTTGTGGAAGCTTGCAATGATCAATCACACAACATGGATCGCTGGCTTAGTAAACTGGAAGCCTCCAACTGGCTGACTCACATTAAAGAGATACTAACTGCGGCTTGTCTGGCTGCTCAGTGCATTGACAGGTAAATCCTCTCTCAGTTCGTGGTTACTATCTGTGATGCTGCTTGTTAAATATTCCTTTCGGCGGCAGCTATGGTATTTTACTACAGTATACTTTTTTTGCTTATTTCCATGTAAGACACCATTTTATCACCACCATGAAGGAGCAGTTTAGCCCAGGTCTAGGTTTTATTAGTACAAGCATGAGTGAGGAATCATAACAATTAGGGATGGACAATAGGTCATCTAGTCAAGATTGCTTCCTGTGTCATCTCTTGTCTAACCTATATCGCCAATAAAACTAGAGTTTACACAACTGAACTACTGTTGTGACAACATATTAAGGACAGCTAAACTTGATCCTGTTTTGACCATGCATGTGCACATTCTTTACTTTATGGACATCCTTTCCATTGAGCTAGTCCAGTACTCAGTCTAATTTTAAATGACTAAAGCAATGGGGCTTCCATCATTTCCTTTGCAGTCTTTCCCACAGTTTAACATATCTACGCTTTTTTGATATTCAAGCCAAATTTACTTCATACTTCTTTCTATCAGTCTAAGCAATTTTTCTCCTTTCTTTTAAAGGATCATGACTCCTCCAACCAGTCACTTAACCAAGCTATCTATCTATATATCTATATCTATATCTATATATATATTTGTAGAGTCATTCCTCATAAACATTTTTCACCTCCTTAGTCAGTTTTTTCCTTTTATCAAAATTTCCTCTGGAGTATTTGTTATCTAGGTGAGCAGAAGTAGATGTAGCAGTCTAGCTGTGGCCTGTTCACAGTTGTACGGGAAGGGGACTATTTCCTCCCATCTCAGAGGATCTATGTCTCCTCTTTGCAAACAGGAAAAACATGCTCTTTGCAAATCTGTGGTCTGAAATGTAATTCAGTTTAGTTAAGAAAATGGCAGCCAACCACCGAGACGTGGCATTGAGACCTGATGCTGCTAGGTTTAGTAAATATACCGGCAAGGAATTCAAACTGGAACAGGTTCAGAGAAGGGCTATTGGAATGATCAGAGTAATGGAGAGCCTGCCTTACAAGAGGAGACTTACGGAGCTTGGCTTGTTTAGCCTAGCAAAAGAGAGACTGAGGGGAGACATGATTGCTCTCTCTAAATATATCAGAGGGATAAACACCAGGGAGAGGGCACTTTTTTTTTTTTTTTTTTTTTAAGTTACGGGCCAATGTTGGTACAAGAACAAATGGATATAAACTGGTCATCAACAAGTTTAGGCTTTAAATTAGATGAAGGCTTCTAATCATCAGAGGAGTGAAGCTCTGGACCAGGCTTCCAAGGGGATTAGTGTGGGCAAAAAAACCTAACTTGTTTCAAGACTGAGCTCGATGAGTTTATGGAGGGGATGGTATGATGAGGTTGCCTACAATGGCAGATGGCCCATCCACGATTGCTATTAGCAAATATCTCCAATCGCCGGAGAAGGGGTACTGGATGGGGAGGGCTCTGAATTACTACAGAGAATTCTTTCCCAGGTGCCAAGATGCAACAGCCTGACCACATGATCTAACTGATGGCCATATTTGGGGTTGGGAAGGAATTTTTCCCCAGGTCAGATTGGCAGAGACTCTTGGGGATTTTCATCACTTTCTGCAGCATGGGGCACAGTTCACTTGCTTGTTTGAACTAGAGTAAATGGGGGATTCTCTGTAACTTGAAGTCTTTTTAAAAACACGATCTGAGAACTTCAGTAATTCAGCCGGAGGTTACGGGTCTATTACAGGAGTGGGTGGGTGAGGTTCTGTGGCCTGTGATGTGCAGGAGGTCGGACTAGATGATCATGATAGTCCCTTCTGGCCTTAAAGTCTGAGTCTATGAGCCTTGGGCAATGAGACAAAAGGATTGCACTAAAAACATCAAACCATGGCAATTACTTGCTTCCAACTTTATTATGGTGAAGGCCAATAACTCTCCTTTACATTGAGTGCAATGGAGCATTTATAACTCCTAGCAGATGAAAGAAGCAGATTGAGTTTATATGGAGTTGGCATTGGACAACCTGGAATTTCTGTGCTCTCAACCCCGTTTGGAAGCTAGTTGCTACTTTTGAGTAGACAATGCACTGAAGTTGTGTAATCCCCTTAGACGGAATGGTGGGAGATAGATTTACATCCTGGGACTGGGACTTTTCAGCTTGGAAAAGAGGAGACTAAGGGGGGATATGATAGAGGTATATAAAATCATGAATGGTGTGGAGAAAGTGAATAAGGAAAAGTTCTTTACTTGTTCCCATAATATAAGAACTAGGGGTCACCAAATGAAATTAATGGGCAGCAGGTTTAAAATAAATAAAAGGAAGTTCTTCACACAGCGCACAGTCAACTTGTGGAACTCCTTGCCTGAGGAGGTTGTGAAGGCTAGGACTATAACACGGTTTAAAAGAGAACTGGATAAATTCACGGAGGTTAAGTCCATTAATGGCTATTATCCAGGATGGGTAAGGAATGGTGTCCGTAGCCTCTGTTTGTCAGATGGTGGTGATGGACGGTAGAAGAGAGATCACTTGATCGTTACCTGTTAGGTGCCCCAGAGGCGTGAACCTGGCATTGGCCACTGTCAACAGACAGGATAGTGGGCTGGATGGATCTTTGGTCTGACCCAGTATGGCCAGTCTTATGTTCTCTTGCATCCCTGTGACAAGAAAGATAAAAGATCAGAACAATATTATCCTAGTTTGTCATTCTACAGGAAGCACATGGACATGTTTGTTCGCTTTTGCGTTTACTGGGAGAGGAGGGAAGAGAATGGTAGTGAAGTTGCTCTCCGTCTGGAACTACTGTAAAGCAAACTGAAAAAAAAATACATAAGGATTAATTTATTCATAGCTGTATCGCCCAAGTTCCTTTTGGATACACTATGCTAATTCTAGATGAAAGCATTACCATGGACTACATCTTTATGCCTCTGCTTTCTACTTCAAAACAAGTAGTAATAGCAGCAGAGCAATTAATTGGTGTCAGCACTGGCGCTTGCTTGATGGATTGCTCTTATTTACAAGCAGTTTATAGCTCAATTTAGGCCTCTGCACATGAACAAATACAACCTACCATTTAGTTTATTTTTTTTTTAAAAAGCTAAAAGGGTATTTGCCCAAGTGAGCCAATCTTGTTATAGAATCATAGAGTATCAGGGTTGCAAGGGACCTCAGGAGGTCATCTAGTCCAACCCCCTGCTCAAAGCAGGACCAATCCCCAGACAGATTTTTCCCCAAATCCCTAAATGGCCCCCTCAAGGATTGAACTCTCAACCCTGGGTTTAGCAGGCCAATGCTCAAACCACTGAGCTATCCCTCATGTTTCAGGAGGGGGAGATGCAATAAGACAATTTTAAATAATGGCACAGGAAATTTGAAGGAGGAGCTTGGTGTGATATTTAGGGCACTTGGCCAGGTGTTGTATCGGAATGAATGCAGGGGGATGGGCTGTTCTGAAAAGTCAGTGGGAGCTGGGGGGAAGAACATATTGAATCTTAGCTGTATGTAAAGCAGTGGTGCCCAAACTTTTCCTGTTGTCGCCCCTCCCCCCCCTTACCAGTAATGGAATCTGTCCGTGTCCCCCTCCATTATTGTTCGGTTGGCTCAGCAGAAGAGCTTGGGCTGAAGGCAGAGCTGGGGGCTGAACTGGAGATGCAGGAGGAGCTGGGGCTAGAGACAGAGCTGGCCAGTAGACAGAGAGGGAAGAGCTGGGCTGGAGGCAGAGCTGGGGGCAGAGTGGAGCTGGAGTGGAGGTGGGGTCTGAGCCGGAACTGGGTTGGGGCAGGAGACGAAGTGGAGCTGCGGCTGGGGGCAAAGCGGGGTGGGGTGACGCTCCTTCCCGGTTCCACGTGTGGACTGGTCTGGGCCTCGCTGTGCGGGGGGACCCCCCCCCGAAAGTTTTTCTGCGGCACCCCTAGGGGGCTGAGCCCCACACTTTGGGGACCACTGATGTAAACTATTACTCCACTTTCACTATAATTTCCTTAGACTTTTCACTTGCTTTATGGTCTTCTGATTCATCTGTACAGAGAGGTGTGTGATAATCATTACGCTTGGCTCTGAGGCAGAGCTAAGTGATCAACCAGAATATTTATTGTGCCTTTGTAGGGCAAGCCCTCTATTACATATTATCCCTGTCCATTTGTAGTTCTACTTTGTATTGCTGTAGCTTCTAAATACTCTAATAAGGAGCATCAGGAGTGTTAGATGCTCTACAAACACCCAAGAAGACATGGGCCCCGTAAAGATTCTGAAGAGGTTTCCAAGTGGCCTGTTCTTCCCAGGAGCGTCCTAGATGCCTAACTGAGCTTCTCGGCCTCCTGATCCCTTTTCTAATGGAGTTGGGATCAGTCTTTGGATACTGTCTATTTAATAGGGTGGATCCTAAGTTGATGGATCCAGGAAGACCTCTTCTGTGTGTGGATTCCCAAAGCACAGAGCCAGAAATTCTACTGAATCCTTAAATGATGTGAAGCATAGATGACACTATGGTCTGGGGCTGGAAAGAGTATCAATATTTTTTCCCTCACCCTTATAGGGGTGAGTTTGAGTGGGAAAGAAGGAATGGTTGATAAGCCACCTAATGTTGTCTAAGCCCACGGCAGGTGGGCTGATGTGTACTGAGAGCCTGGGCTTACCTACATCTTGCATATTTGGGTTCCTATTCTTGCCCTCTTGAATTTTCTCTCAGGGAAGGAGCATCAGTGTTAGTTCACGGGACTGAAGGAACTGATTCTACACTCCAGATAACTTCATTGGCTCAGATCATCTTGGATCCAAGGTGCAGGACCATACGTGGCTTTGAGGCTCTTATTGAGAGAGAGTGGCTGCAGGTGAGAGATGCTGTTTAGTTAGTGCTAAGAAAAATGTATGTGTGGACGTCACTTGATTGAGGCGCTCACAAGTTGTTGTTCAATGTGTGTATTGTGATAGAGCCTCAGGCCTCAAACATGTTGAACCGCATTGTGCTGGACGCTGTTATTGCATGTCTTGATACCTGGGGCACCAGTGTAGCTATCTCCCATTGGCTTTCTGTCAATGGAGTCTTGTGCACTAGCTGTCCTTCCCCGTTGGCGCTGAGAGGGATCTCTCAATAATGTGAGGATTTCCGAGCCCCTCTCCCATGTCAAGGATACTGTTGCAGTTGTAAATTTAACAAATAATTCTGCTCTTCGTAGTTCATTGCAGCTGGTGTTCTCAGCCAGGCGTTTTTCCTTGCATGATCAGCAATTTCATAATCTGCTAAATCAATGGTCCCCAACCTTTTTGTGGCCAGTAGCCACGTGCATGTTTTCAGAAGAGTGTGGCGGGCGCCAACAATTTTTCAAGGCTTATTTTGTATTTGTACATTAAATAATACGAAAAACATCATATTTAATATTACATAATATATGAATCTAGAGAGAAGCCGCGAGGACAGAGAACACCGGCGCCCGCAGCCCTGGAGTACTCTGTCCCCAGCAGGCGTGGGGCCCCGGCTTCTCTCCTCTGCTGGGCACTAGGTGGGCCCCGCGCCTGCCGGGAACAGAGAACCCCAGTGCCTGCAGCCTGAGTTCTCTGTCCCCGTCAGGCCAGTGGCCGTGGCTTCTCTCCCCTGCTGGGCATTAAGCAGGCGCACATAAATACCCTGGCGGGCGCCATGGCACCCGCGGGCACCGCGTTGGAGACCACTGTGCTAAATAGTCTTCAGTGCATATTCTTGTAGTCTGATGAAATGTGATATTACTTGCATACCTCTAGTATCACTGAAAAGTGCAGCGGATTGACACTGCAATTCACTATTGTTAGCTTGAAGCCGAATTGCACCTGTTACGTGATATTAACATGATGCAGTGGGACACAGTATCACAGATAGAAATAGTTATGCAGAAATCTTGTGCTTTTCCTCCTATAACATACCCCTCCTATTGCTTTGTATATAACCTATTGTTCTTCATTTCTTGCTTATAGGCTGGTCACCCATTTCAGCAGCGCTGTGCTCAGTCCGCCTACTCCAACAGCAAGCAGAAATGGGAGTCCCCCGTGTTTTTCCTTTTCTTGGACTGCGTGTGGCAGACCCTCCGTCAGTTCCCTTGCTCTTTTGAATTCAATGGACACTTCCTCATCATGCTCTTCGAAAACGCCTACGCCTCGCAGTTTGGCACGTTTCTGGGCAACAACGAAAGTGAAAGGTTGGTGAAGAGAAGTGTTTGGTGCTCCTGGAAATCAGGCCGCGCCCCGTTACAGATGTTCTGTTGGTTTGAAAGAGAGAGTGGCCGGTAGCTGTCTCCTAGGTTTGAAAGACCTGTCTGTTTTAAAAAATCCAGGATCTTTCAGTCGTCTTCCCTTAAAATAAATGGAAGTTCTGTCTGTGATACTTATCTGGCCCCTATTACTGTGGTATGTGAGCACCACACAATCTTTAATAGATTTTCCTCACCGCACCCTGTGAGGTAGGCCAGGGCTGTTATCCCCACTTACAGATGGAGAGGCTGAGGCCTGCATGCACAAAAGGAATTGGGCACCTGTGTCTGTTTTAGACTCTGCTGCAAAGTACAAAACTCCCCCTGAATCTGTTAGGCCCCTAAACTTACTCAGCACCTAAGTTTTTGCACTAAAAGTTCCCTTGCTGTCTTTGTATCAGCCTCTGGGCATGTACACTACTGCTTCGTTCTAGAAGTACAAATGCCTGTTTCCTGTCTAAGCCCCAGAGCAATTCCCAAGCCAGGGGAAGACAGGCATTCAGCCTAAGTCACATGCGGGGCCTCATCCGGTCGATGTGCTCAGAGGGTGCCTACTGGATTGGCCCCTCAAGTGTGGGGGTGGGAGGAACAGGAGTTCCCTCATAACTTTTAGCCCAGTGGGTTGGATACTCATCTGGGCAGTGGCAGCAAACGCCTAGTTCAAGTCCTCCCTCTCTTTGATGGAGAGAAGGGATTTGAATAAGGATGTGCTACCTCCCAAGTCAGTGCTCTAAGCATTGGGCTATAGGAAATTCTGATGTGGGGCCCACTCAAGTCTCACCTTTTTGAAGCTGTTGCGCTGTGGATAAATAGTCATTCGAGCAGGGAGACTGGATCCTGGGTCTCCCACAGGAGTGCTGTAAGCCCCAGGGTGTAGAGTCACTCTCGTGTTTGTGCGTGCTGTCTTGCCCCCTCCCCTCCTTCTCCTCCCACTTCCCCTCCCCTCCCCCCCCGGACTCTTTGGGAGAGTAGAACAAGCATGAGAACAGCTCTGTAGCCTGGTGGTTACGGCACTCATCCAGGATCCAGTCGCCCTGCTCCAGTGAGAAATCACCCAGAGTGCTGGCTTTTGTGGATTGCAGTCTAAGGTGCCTCTCTAGCCCCACTCAGTGTCTAGGAGCCAGGCACCTAACTTGGGCTCTTTGAATCCCAGTGATTTTACAGGTGCCTGAAAGTTAGGTGCTGTGACACTGAGAATCACAGCGCCTGACAACTCCTGTGCATCCAGGCCTAAGTGACTTGACAGACAGCCTGTAATAGAGCTGGTAGCCGAACCCAGCTCTCCCAAGTCCTGGGCTAGTGCCCGAACCACTGGACCATCTCTTCAGTCTGCGAAGTGGAGAATGTAGTCAATAGCTTTAATTTATATAGCTTCTGGCATGCAAACTGTCCCAACCCCCTTTACTACGCTAAGTCCTGGTACAAAGATGCATATGACCACCCAGGATAGGGTCATGCCCTGTGTAGGTTTTGATTCACTGTGTCTGTCTGACAGTAAATTGTGAAAGCTCTTGCTTGTTGAATGGCCTCTGTCAGATAGCACGTGCCGTGGTGCGTCCTGCCACAAGAGGGACCCTATACACAGTTCTAGTAGTAACCTCACTTTCACTTACACCGAGAATTGCACTATGAGGCAGAATCTGCAGACCCACCCTCCCCTCCGTTTTGGTAGCAAACAGAGCAAATATGGTTGTCAAACTATTTCATGGGGTCAGGTTGTTCATAAGAGAAGATGGCTGATTTCTGCCCCCACCGATAAATGAGCTCTCTTCTCTGCCCTCTTGTTTTGAATTACATGAAATTGTCCCTACAGAATGCAATAACTTGGCGTACTAGTGTGACCTGTCAGTATCATTTCACTGTCTTGGCTCTCTCTTCATTAACAATCTGAGTTATCACAGTCCCTCAGCATTCACAGCATGTGGAAGACTTGCAGATAGTTTAGTTCCCAGGGATGTACCTGATTAACGCAAATGAGAGTGCACAGTTGTGAAGACAAGACAATTCAGTAATATTGGTCTGTCCCAGGTGTAAACTGAAGCTACCACAGAAGACTATGTCCTTGTGGTCTTGGGTGAATCAGCCTTACGAACTGAGCAAATTCAAGAATCCTCTGTTTGAGGCCAACAGTCTCGTCATCTGGCCGTCTGTCGCGCCACAGAGCCTGCAGCTTTGGGAAGGTAAATCAGGCTTCTTTTGTATTGTGTTTTTGTGATAACAGAAATTCTCCTAATTGTCCACTCCATCGTACCTTTATACCTACAACTTGACATCTAAGGGCATGATCCAACTCCCATTGAAATCAATTATTACAAACAACTTCTAACACCCAGCACCCCAGGAGACATGGTGCCGCCTCCTACCACTTCTTAGGCACTACAGGTGCTATGAAACTTCTTACCCAAGGGCAACAGACTGAGCCTTTTTGGACAGTTAGTGCAACCTAAGTTGTTCCTTACTTACATATTTCTAAGGTGAATGCTCCCTCTTCTTTCCTTTTATCCTTCCCACCCACCCAAGCATTCCCAAGGTTAGAGTCATGATTCAGTCCTCTAGCCATACAAACTCCTGAATGTGAATCTATGATCCCATCCAAGATTTACGTTAGCACTAAACTAAAGTGAGGAGTGGAATCAGTCCAAGGTGGAGACTGAATATTGACCTGTCAGACAAGGCTACTTGGAAAGCCAAAGTCTAGATCTCTCTAACCACTGACTTTTTAAAAAAAGAGAAATAGTGAACCCGTTGCGGTTATTGTCTATGGTTCAAAGCATTGTTTAGGTAAGTCCTTAAGAATTCTGATGTTGGTCCGTAGCACTCTGCATTTGTAAAGCACTGTATGAATCTTCCCTAACTAGCAGTTTCCTCCTGGTGACACTAGTCGATTCTGACTTTCCCCCTCTCTTTGGGGCTTTAGGTGTCTTTCTCCGTTGGAATAGGTCCTCCAAGTTTCTGGACGAAGCCTGCGAAGAAATGAACAACATCATAGAGTACAACAAGGAACTTCAGGCAAAAGTCAATGCACTGAGGAGGCAGTTAGCAGAACTGGAAACAGATGATGGGATGCAGGAAAGCTCCTGAGATCTTGCAAGGCTTTGGACACCAGGTCTTTCCTTTCAACTCACCTTTACACTAAAGACTAAACAGAGAATGTGCATGTGTTGCAGAACCCTCTGGTGCAATTGCTCCTCAACCCTTCACTGCTGAAACCCTCACTTTACACTATCTACATCTCTTCCGTTTGGGATGGGTCTCTTGTTTTTTGTTTACAGGGAAAGTGCACTATTCAGCATAGTGTTCTCTTGACCGTCGCTGTCTTTAATAAATTGTGTACAGTTTCAGCATAAGCTTTGTCTCTTACCTCTGTCAAAGTTTGTACAGACCAGGATGGGTCAGGAGATGGATGTGTTATGTTTAAGTTGGGGACCATTTTTTGACCTCTAAACATTTATTTGTAAGAGTATTAAATATTTTTCTGAGTGGTCGGTGAAGGCATTTTTGTCTAAGTTGCCTTTTTTGAGATTAGTTAAGGCAGCGTTGTGTTCAGTGATGCTTATTTTTGGTTGGTTCTGATGTTGCGTTTCATACATTCTATGTTCCTTTTATCCAGAAAGGCAGTGAGGACGCAAACGCGGTTTAAAATGCCTCCGGTTTCTGGCAGTTACATGAAACCTCCTGTACACTTGACAAATAAGCATGTGGTGTTTGAATTAAGGAACCGGAATTGGCTTGGTGGGGCTAACTGAAACAGAAGCCAGGTGAGAAGTTTGTATGCAGTGTAGAACTTGTCAGGATTGTTCTGCCAGGCTCTCTGCCTTGACTTTCAGTTGCATTGTCTCTGTGTGTCATGAACAAATATCTCCGAAGGGATAACAAACTATTCATATCCCACCTGGAAAACAAACAGGGCAAATTGCTAGCAGAGGCATTCATTTGTTAGTGAATAAACTAGTAACCAGAGCACACTGCCCTTTTGGGGAGTTCTGATTGCACTGGCCTTTTTTAAAGGTTTGAACTGATCCATTGTGATGCTAAGGTGCAAAAATCCCTATGGGTACTTTTAAAAACACCCCCTTTGCTCCAGATGTATTTTTGTCTTGCATACTTCTGCGAGGCCTTTTATCTGCTTTGGCAAACGTGATCCAGCAACGTCTTAGAAATGTGTTTTCGATTAAAATTTGTAGCTGCTAAAAACGGCTTGCAGTGTCCAATTCTCCATGTTAAAAATGTTTGATTTCTGGGGCTGCTTTCTGCATTTCGGTGGTTTAGTCTGTGCTTTCATCAACATTTTAAAGGGATGGTCAAGGCTAGGCCTTGAGAATTATTTAACTTACGTAGACTGTTCCACTTGATTCCAAGTGGCTTGGTGTCTGTAGAACAATTATTTTCCCCTAAGGGAAGTGGAGGGCTGTCTCTTCAACCCACAAGGATCCTTTCCTCCTCCTCCCTGGTTTAGCACCTCTAGAAGGGAGTAGAGCCTGATAACCTGGTATGTGGGCCCAACTGACTGAATACGTTCTTGTTGGGATGAGGAGACTAGCTGAGGAAGCACCTAGAATTCCCTCAAGTCATTCCCAAGAGACATTGTTGTATATGGCAATCCGATGGGATGGATCTCAGGTCCAGTCGCTGGCAAAGGAGCAGCTGCAGGCTGCTTTATGCGCCATGCGGTAGCCTTTACTACAGGAAGTAATATGTATTGCTCACTGCAGAGCCCAGGAGCATCTGAGCATCAGCCGCAAGGAAGGCTATTTTTTGTCAGGTTGGCTATGGGGATGGCAGTGGCATGCGTTTGCCAGTTTGCTTATAGCACAACTTGACATAAATCTGGCTTTAAGGTGGCTTCCTTAACAGAGCTGTAGCAAGAATAGTTCAATTATTCCCTGCTTTTTTTGCTGCATTCATCCCCAAAATTCCCAGGCTGGACTGTTTAAAGCAAGTGCCATCAAGTGGGGCAACTAGACACGTTCCTTAATAATTAAGGCTTAAAAACATTTTGAGTGGACAGCAACCAGTCACGTTAGTCTTAGCTGGAAAACAAGCCCCGAAAGTGAATGTATAACTTCCAATTTTTGTTTTGTGACTTTAAGCCACGATTACCCCGTCACTACTGTTGAGATGTACCGATGGAAAATTTTTCCCAGTAAGGTAGAACGTGTTCCCTTTGGAGCTGGTACTGGAGGCTGTTCGAAATGGAGGCTTAAAATGATTGTTTAAAAAATAAAAGCTTATAAACTTCAAAACTACCAAGTCCATAAATGGTCATTACAAGAAATAAACCAAACACAACTACTGGCCAAGGCAAAGGTGTAGGAGGTTTGAATTTAATAGGACAATGAGGCTGGGTGCTTTTTTTTTTTTAAGTTCCACGTTGGCCTAATTTTGTTCCTAGTGAAGACAACAGCCGTAGAATTAGACTAATGTGGCACGTTCTAGGGTGCCCGCTTTGTGTTTAACTCAATATTTTACAGTATTTTTATTCTTAAAGTGGATTGGCTTGTATTTAAAAAAAAAACACTTGCTTAATAGACATATTTGAATGATGAAGACTAAACTACTTTAAGAATGTAATCTGCCGAAAATCCTGGTTTCTAAATATGTTCTTAATCAAGGGTTTAAAATATTTTCTATATTACTTGACAGTGAGTGACCTTTAAATATCACTGTGCTGCCTTGTATTATAAAAATCCTTTTTCTAAAACATTCTGCCCTGGGCTGATCTAAATTTAGTCCCAAAATGATCTCGTTTTATTGCAAACACTAGTTTGGCAGCTTTTTATCTAACCGGGTAATGAAAGATAAGAATACATACAATTTGTTTAAAGGTGCTTGTTTAATTAAAATGGTTTACCAGGGAGATGGATGTTCAGATTCTCATGTTAAACATTTTTGGGATGTTTTTGAGGGGGTGGGGTGGGAGGGCACCTTGGATCCTAAAACTTAAGACATGCGGGGCTCAGGTTTTTCCTGTGGTGACTAGTGATCTCCGGTGCCTGTTGGTGACATGTAAAAGGGTTTTCAGAACTTCTGACTACAGCCCTCAAAAGTCCAGACCCTTTCACGTGTATCAAATATAGACCCTCCCTCCCCCCAAATCACTAGCTACTCTTTAAAACCCTGGCTGAGTTCGCTGTACCTGCTCAGTTACATTACTTTTAACAAATATTTTCAGAATTTTGTTACTATGGATACCATGAGTCCGAAATATGTAATTACCAGCCATATTGGAATGGCTCAGAAGAGATTATTTGGCTCCATATTAGACTATCCATAAAACACATTTTTAAAGGTTTTGTAACTTCCAAATGTAGCAATGATATATAAGACAGCAGCAAAGAGACTTTTTGGCCTCAATGCATGGTGGTTCCAGTCTCTCTTGCAAACAGCATGCATCTTTTGAGTAGCCAGCCGTGACAGCTAACAAAAGGCAGAGAAATCTCACGTGAGGCTGGCGTTTCATCCTAACCTTGTGCTACTGAACTGCATTCACCCCAAATGACATGAGTGTTTCCCTCGATTTAGCATTAGTTTGGATCACAACCATAATACTGTTGATGGCACTGATTGCTTTTATTATTCCCATTGTTTCAGCCTTTATATTTCAATTTTGTTCACAGCAGGAAAAAAAAAAATCAAGGGAGGTGGATAATTAGTTTTCTTCCAAATGGACACCTTCCCCGTTCCCTTTAAATTGTGGAATTGGGCGGGATCGTGCGCGGCACTTTGCAGGATTGCTGGATCAGGGTCCAGAGTTCTCCATACCTTGCAAGATCAAAACCCAACAGCGTATATGTGTTCTTAGAAGTGGTGTAATATCCCCTATGTAAAATTCCCCTCTAGTAGTCTTCACCTCTCTATCACCTTCCAGGTTTTAGGGTGGGGTGACCACAGATAATCCAGGCTGGGGTCCTCAGATTCTTCTCCCACTTGTATCTTTATTCTGGGGCCACGAGGTTTACTCCCATAATAAATGTTTACAATCAGCAATGGAGCACTCTTCTTTTGGAAGGGTGGCACGAGCTGGGCCCAGTTACATTTACCTGTGTTGCCCCATGAGAGACCTGAAGTGTTGTTTGGTGCAGGTAGTCACTTGCCTTCAGGTTGGACCTGAGCTGTAAGCATTGTGTGGTAAGAACCAAGCCTGGGTCTTCAGCCTGGCAGTGCCTTGTGCTGTTGCCAAGACACCTGCTTCAATTCTCTTTTGTACATACCTATATGTGTATATAGAGTTATAAATGTAATTAACACGCTGGACCTAGTACTCCTAAACCTCAAGGAAGTATAGAAACTTAATGGGGACACGTTGCCGTTTACCAAAAATAGAATGAACTTGCACAGCGTAGTGAACAACACAAAGGGAATATGTACTTTCGATAGACAGGTATTTTGATTGTATTATTGATCTAACGTTTGAATGTGGCAATCTGTTAAAGTGCACTATTGTCCACGTTGCATACAATATAATTTGCACTGCATAGCATATCAACATCTGTAATGTATGCTTCTGTTAAAGCCTTGGAAAGTGCTATCATGTACAGGTTCCTGTACAGTGGAAAATGTCTATATATTAGAAATTTTTTTGTAACTGTGATATTGAATAGCACTGTTTGTTACGTACTATACATGATGTATCCATTAACTAGTATGAGCTAAGTAGTAAGTGCGTTCTGTCCGAAAACCTGGAATCTCTAATCAGAGTTGGCTGCTGCATCAAACTTAATTTAAAATGAACCGTGTAACAGGAATTGTGTGCTATTATGTTAGATGTCTGTTGTTTGTGAACAGAATCCCAGCCACCACTACGCAGAATATATCACAAAAGGCTAATGAATCTGAGGAAAATACATTGGCTGAAATTCTGTTCAGCTCTTTGGAAAAACGAAGATACAAAATGGCTGTAAATTTTTGCTTAGACTTGTTGAGAATGTAGTGTAAATTGTCTGAATTAAAACCTTCGAGACTTGAAAAGAAATCCTTGAATTACAAAGTTTGGGTCTTTTCTTGTCAGCGTTGTCTTCATAAAGTGTGTGTGTGTGTGTGTGACAACATGGTCTCTAACAACATTCGCTCAGACTGGAATGTTAAACGGTTTGGTGCAGTGTGGGGTGGGGGTTCAGATAAGGTAGCTCCATATTGCAGGGCTGCACAAACAATAGAGTTAAGTTGTTTGAGGCATGTAACTGGTTGCTGGCCTTTGGGCATGTCCTTGCATTCCAGTGCCCTCTTCCAAGGCTTGACCTTCTAGTAAAGGATGCTGGGAGTTGTAGTCTCCACAGATGGATAAAGGGTCAGCTGATTATCACATCTGCGGCTGGAGACTACATAAAGGAAAGCTCTTAGCTCAATCAGGGAAAGGTGAGGGTTGAGGTAAGAGACCTTGAGGGAAATTCCTCCCAGAGATGTGGCAGGAGTCCTGTGGAATAACCAGGAAAGGTGTCCCTCTCCCTTCCTAGCTGGTGGAAAGTGAGAGGACAGACCTTTTGTTACCCTGAATTTTGGGGTGAGGTCGGAGTTGTGTGTCAACAATAAAACCAGCCCTCAAGGAAAGGGACGTGAATTGAATGGTGGTTGGGAGATTTATTCTACCTCCCCTGGCTGATGAGTTTGCTTGCTGGCTTATTGGGCAGTTAGTGTCTCTCTCTCCATGTGGCAACATTGATTAAACCTGTTGGTGTTTTGGGGGCAAGAGGAATTTAATGTGGTGTTGCAAAGATTTGTAAAATGGATTCTGTCGGTGATGATCCAAAAATATATATTGATAGGGACGTTAGGTTTGATCCTCTGTCCTTTCACCTTGTGCTGTCATTTATACCAGAAAAAAATGGGTGTAAAATGCTGCTTGTAGAGGGGTTCGGTTGGGGGTCACCCCTCTCTGGGGCGGCTGGGCGCCAGGCCGCCTCACTACTTAGGTCCGGTGAGTCGGGGAATTATGAGTCAACA